CAGTAAATTATAACAGTAAAACATGATCTTATGAAATCATGAAAATTTTTTGAGAGTAACGAATTTGCATTCTAAATGTTTAAATGAACAATTTAAAATCTAACAATTATTGAACCCCAAAAGTATCAGGACTTTAAAACAAGAACAGCATCATTCTACCTTGAATGTACAGCTTGTTTCAATGATTAGCTTAATCTCTGTTTGAAAATGTATAAAATTTTGCACAATAACTCTGCCTAAGTATGTAATTCCTTAGTGAGAATGGCATAAATTGATTCAGTCTCGTTGATACAAATTTAGATGGAACTCGACTACTGACAAAGTTAATGTACCAGTCCCAAAATGAAATGTATAGATGAGAGTTGCACATTTTTAATGTTTATGCAACGCAGCAGCATATTTAGAGACAAAATGAACGGAGGATAATTTTACAAATATACCAAATTGTGAATGGACAAACTAAATGACCAACAGATTTTTCCATTAGTAAAATGAAAAATTAAAGATCTTATTATCCAAACGTACATTGACAATTCCCTCAGTATAAATTCTTAATGCTTATTAAAGTAGCTAAGTCTCTAACTCAATATCATCCAAAGTCTTTAACATTGAAAACACGATTTATTTGTCAAATTAAATCAACATTCATGTTGTGATCTTACCGGAAAAAGATGGGCTTTTGATATCCAATATTTAAGACAAAATAAACATTTTACCATTGGCACACGAATCGTGTACCATAATGCGCTTCAGCCCCAGTTGTATCAAGAGACTCGAGGGACGAGGCGAGACACATTGCACCAAATCAAACGGCGTATGTAGACTAGAATAACCAGACGCTAGAAATTTGCACTCGCTTGAGACTGCTGGCTTATTTCGCCGAACATAACTGATTTGAAATTGGAGTAAAACGGAAACCATTGAATGTAAAACAGTTTATATACATTCATATTACAGTATTATATGCGTTGCGATCCACTTTTGTCAATTTCTAGGTCCCCAATGTTAGCGATTTAGCTCCTTTAATAATGATGGTTTTCAGTGGTAGTCTATTAATAGTATTATACTAAGATAAAGATAGACATGAAGCCCAGAAATGTTAGCCCTTCATATAGTTCATATTTTTATTTCTATCAATGAGTTTGAATGGGTTATGCCATCCGAGTAGCCTCAACTAGAACTGAAGCCTTCAAAAACAATGCTAAAAAATATTAGGCCTAGCAGTAGCACTAGCAGTATGTCCATTTGTCAAAAATAAGTTACCCCGTACATTTTTACGAATGTCAAGAATCAATCTGTATCAAACAAAGATGTGTGCCTACTATATAAACATTACTTACCTAAAACTGCAATGTTGGGTATTGACTGTAGTGTTCAACCATAGAACTATACCATCTATGGTTCAACTATTGTGCTCGATGCAGAGGGATTCCTCTTTGCCTCTAACTAACGGTATTCGCAGTAATGGCGCCCAGGAAGACCGATGACGTCACTCTAATTTAAGCACCCGTATGTCATATTTACGGAAGAAATTTCGACTTCTCAAATATTTACAGGCTTGTGTCTGTTATCAGGATGACAGAACTGCGCTGTAGGCGTTTTACAGAAACAATAAAATTGTAAAAATTACAGAAAAGGCTTACAGTGTACGTATGGTCCCTTGCCAGGGCTTTCCTCCTACTCCACTGAACTTCTGAATTGAAGTAGGCCTAATCTTGAGTGCAAACGTCCCACTCACTGACCCACTGTAGCTCCTACTTCATTTAGATTCCGGACATGGGATCTCGGTTATTTTTATTCCATCCGAACGATATGTTGTCTCTTGCCAGACGCTTCGTCCTACACCACTGACAAGGGTGGACATAGCCAGAAAAATCACGATGAACTTTGATGAAGTTAGAGAGCAAACGTGCTACTCACTGAGCCACCGTAGCCCTCACTTCATTCGATTTCGGACGACTATACCACTGACAAGCCAGAACCACGACCGAAAAATGAGAACTTTGATGAAGTAAGAGAGCAAACGTCGTACTCACTGAGCCATCGTAGCTTACACTTCATTTAGATTCCGGACACGGGATCTCGGTTATTTGTATTCCCAAACGCTATACGTTGTCCCTTCTCAGGCCCTCCGTCCTAGGGTGGACATCGCCAGAAAAATCACGACGAACCTTGATGAAGTTTGAGAGCAAACGTCCTACTCACTGGGCCACCGTAGAACCAACTTCATTTTGATTACAGGCACGGGACCTCGTTTTTTTTAATCCCATTCGAACGACTATGCGTTGACCCTTGTCAGACTCTACATCCTACAACACTGACAAGACCACTCATCAAAAAACCCGATGAAAAGTTAGAGGGCAAAGAAAGATTCGACTGATTACAGAATAGAGTACTATCTGTGCAAGAAGAGATTAAAATTGTTTAATTAGGACTATTAAATTTTCTAGACCTTCATACATTTCCGTATATAATTCATGTCCAAATATAAATGCCGATACGGTAGTCAGTGGACATGCGTATAAACTGCACTTCCGAGGCGAGAACACGAGAAGACGAGAAGTCGAGATTGTGACGAAGCGAGGGAGCGAGAACACGAGAAGACGAGATTGACTCAAATGCGAGGGAGCGAGGGAGCGAGAACACGAGGTTTTTCAAAGGCGAGAACACGAGAACACGAGAAGTCGAGGGCGAGAACACGAGAAGATGAGAAGTCGAGGGCGAGAGTGCGAGAACACGAGGTTTTTCAACGGCGAGAACACGAGGGAGCGAGAAGTCGAGGGACGAGGGAACGAGAAGTCGAGGTGAAAGTAATCTCGTGTTCTCGGGGCGAGATCCTCGTATTCTCGCCCTATTTCCTCGTGTTCTCGTCTTCTCGTGTTCTCGCCCTCGACTTCTCGTCTTCTCGTGTTCTCGTGTTCTCGCCCTCGACTTCTCGTGTTCTCGCCCTCGACTTCTCGCGGCGAGAAGACGAGATTCTGAAATGGCCGCAATAGGCTTCCATAATTGTGGATGAGAACAGTTATCTTGGGGTTTCCTACACAATGAACTGTTAATAGAGACTTTTGGCAAGCGTAAATTCCTGGTCCCTATCGCGTATCCGTATGGATTTTGAGTGTGACGTCATCAATGTGTGTGCTTTTCTCATACGTGATACGGCACACGGATACGGCAGCACGTATCGAACAGCTGTCATACGGAAAAGGTCCGTATAAAATTGTCATCTTTTTTTGCTACTTTGAGACGCAGAAATGTTGTATAGCGTTTGTATTATTCATACTTTTCCTGTCTGTCTGTCTGCATGCTGATTGATCTACTTGCTAAATTTAGGGAGGTGGGACCTTGCAAATCTGTAAATTATTTTGTACTAAGGGGTATAAACTTTCTGAAATGATACATTAGTGAAACCAAAAATTTCTGCCGAATCTAAGTCGAAGAATTTTTGATAAGATTCGAAATTAATTTTTTTAATAGCCCAGCGACTTCAGTCCCTCCAGGAAATTGTAGGCTAGTACTTAGGGTGATCTTGGTAGATATCTGCCATCATGTTGTAATACATGTAGAACTAAGCTCAGCTCAGCGACGCGTAAATCTGACAAAACTCTAAGGTTACATTGACTCAACGTATCACGTATACGATATGGATACGTGATACGGATGGGAAAAATTCCGCTTGCCAAAAGTCTTTGGTTCTGTTCCTTGTGTACGGTGCTTAAAAAAACCGTTCCTCTTATATATCTATTTGGTTCTCCATTTTTATACGCCCACATTGAAATGTTTTCGTATATTTTCGTATATTGATACGCGAAGTTTGAGGTCTTGAGAAGAACAATTATATTAATTTCCAATGATATTTGATAACTTGAACAGATAAATCCATGGGCCAAACAAATTCTAATGATCTTCTGATAATTATTTAATGAGTTGTTACTCTTAATCAGATTTTAGTGTACTATAAATGTTTCATTACCGACAAAAGTAAAAATATGCGACAACTCTTGTTGACTGCTCGGACGATTTAGCTGCTGTGGGCGTATGTTTCGTTGCCTGGCAACATATCTCAAGTGGTGCACGTGTTAATGTTTATAGTAGATTTACAACAGGATGGGCTTCGTAAGAAATCACTCAGACTCTACAACATGCAAGTCTATGACTGAGTGGGAATGTGAGATTTGATCACCGGAGAAGGTATTGATTACCGAAACGTATCACCAATACTTTTCTTTTTATTTTCTAAAATTATTGGCGGGAGGGGGTGTGTCAGAGGGCAGACCAGATTTATGCGGGGGGGGGGGGGGGGCAAATGCCTTGGCGCCACAACTTGTTTGTGCCATCAGTCTATCAGCTAAGGGTGGTCCTTTATTTATTTATATGTCCATCAATTTGACTTTTGAATCATGTTGGGGACCCATGTGTGAGTAACCAAAAATTGGGCTGCCACTATGAATCATGGGAATGAACGGTGAAATTCACCATGTGGTGCCCAATGCAATCTATTAAAACCAATCGCTATATGGACAACACATATATATGGAAATCCAACTTTTCAGAACTGTGATTTTTGTGTCTGTACATAGGTTATACGGGTCAACATAAACCTATCCGTTAAAACTGAGAACGTGCCCTTATCTTGTCTTGGCCGATGTGACGCAACCCTTGGGTTATTTGTCACTAGTTCTCACAATGTTTACCTAATAATAAGAAGAGGCTGTTAACATATAATGTCTTTTAATGTTTTCAAGAGATAATAATGATTATGCTTCTTGAGTTTCCGGGTTTATATCCTAATTTCGGTTACCATAGATTTGATTAGCGTGCATTCTAAAGTATTTAATCCGTTTCTAATGGAGAGGATTATAACCCAGACCAAGACATGTTAACAACCTAAGTTTAACTGGACAAGAGGGATTATCGAGTTAATGGCTTAATCTTTAATTTAATTAATAAATAGTTACAATTGAAATATAATGAAATTATTAACAAAAAATAGAGTGGGGGAATATTTCTTTGCAAAACATTTGGGTGGAGAGTTGTGAATTTTTATTCCAAACAATTCATCTGTAGGACTTCATATAAGAGGGATTATCGAGTTAATGGCTTAATCTTTAATTTAATTAATTGTTAGAGTGTACAAAAAATATATGTTTGTTGCACACTATTACAAAACCATTCGCTTTATTAAAACATATGAAGACATCGTCAAATCAACGATGTCCACCATAGTGGCCAGAAAAAAGGCAATAATATGCTATTATTATGCTTTTAAATTATTTGTGGGTGGGTGTTTTTTTAACGAGTTTTATGCCAATTTGAAATGTTAATAAAATTGATAACAGGTCATTTGGTACATGCAGTTATTAGATATTGCATTCGAGTGATTCCTGATGAGTGGGAAAACATTTAAAGGGCATCGTCCCGAGACATGCGGTGTAGAATGTCAAAATGTTTATAGGATTCTGCATGAAGCACCCAAGATGAATGAACGAAGATTTTAGACGCATTGATGAAGATGAGATTAGAAACAGACTTCACAATTAGACCAAAATGCACTTGTACAGACACTAAAATTGCGCCGTGGAATGTGACCATGTCCGTTTCTCCCCTTGATTCTGTAACTTTTCACTGAAATGAAGCACTGCTGTGATAATTATAATCACGTAATTAAATTTAACTTTTGGTCAAAACAATATTTTATTCAGCATTAAGTAATTGGAAATCTCAGATGTAATGAACTTTTATATGAAATTACATAATTATATAATCACACTGGCTTGATTTCATTACTATATATGGAGTGATGAGACTGCTTGGAAACGGAATTGTGTGATTTTGTTAGTTTAATTCTATAGACAATTTGGTGACATTTTCATTCCGTTTATTCAGGAGGTCATTGGATTAGTATCTAAAGACCTGCTTAAGAAAAGTGCCTTCGGCCCTATCACGACAGCATAATAATACCTTCGACCATGATTAGTCAGCCGATCAAATCTTTCGATAATAAAAGCCATAATGTTTCCATAATTAATCCGTTCAAACATTCTGAGTAATTTTCTGTGGTAATTGGTCGGTTGATCCTGAGTCGATCAATCACAACCTGCGTAAACATAGTGTCTGGATAATCAACTGAACATGTATTTCTTTCGTATTTCACGAGAATGTGTATTTTCAAATGTGACAGGTTGAATTAATGTACATGAGACGCTAATTATTTCTTTAGTTAACAATAATATTTGATAGTACAGTAGAGACTGAAAACAACAGCCAGATATCTAGAGTTAAGAAACCGTCACCAAATCTGGTGTTGTACGTCTCTTTAATGGATGCACTTATTCCATCAAATTACAATTGATAAATTTGCTTCAGTAAGACTATTATATAGCTAAAACCAAACATTATAACTATTTTGTTGTTTTTACATGGCAGATTAATATTGTATTCCATGGCATAATACATCAATTTGGTCCCAGGTGTCGCTTTCGATAATCATATATTTTAATCTTCAAGTTGTTAGACTTTCCTAATAAGTATTTTATAATGGATGGGCTCTATTATAAACATTTATGCGAACAGGCTAATTAGTTTATCCGTTGGTTTCATGGATATTTCTCTGCGATTACATCTTAGGACTAATTACGTACACTATTTTGTATAATCCTAAAATAAATGCAAGCCGAAATAGACCAAACGCTGGCGTAGGTTGTTATATCCCTTATTGAATTAGAAAACCAATCCAACCTCAGGTTTTTCACATTTTCATGTAACCGATGAATTCTAGTTACTATGAATAAATGATCACGTTTCGAATCATTGATTATTCTTGAGCAAATAAAATTTCAATCAAAATTAGGTTTTATCATTATCACGTTTAATACCACAAAAATCAATAAGAATATCGATTCGATATTAACCACACTGGACAGTTACATATCAATATAAATAAAGATAAAAGGGAAAGTTTATATACACGATAGGATTTGTATCACTTTCTTTCTCACCGCAACATTTCAGTCTGATTTTTTTAAACACTCCCAACTAAACCATCAAGTCTTATTCTTGTATAGCAACCGCATCGACTCCGCTATATCTGAAGTGCACCGGAAGTTGTCCCGGTACATTCTGTATCTTCTGCTGATTAGCGCGTATCACCAAAACGTGTCAAAAATGTTTTCTGAAAAACATACAAGAAAGCATGAAATATCGTAGTTCTGTATTTCAATTACCCAGCACAAGCAATACACGAGGATATGTGCGATGATTCTCCATTAAAGTCTCCGGTCGTCATCTGGGGGATTGGGGAATTCCTTGTAAACTACAATATTGTGAAAGTTGAATCTCTAAAAGGTACACCAGTCCAATAATGCACACTTCCATTCAGTATTTTCAAGGATATGATGAACTGAATACTTGTCAACATTTGGCATCCTCTATTGACGGTGTAACTGGGAAAATGTCTGCACCACCATTATCGTTGTTAAAATCATTAAACCAACATCTTTTTTTTAACGGGACTTATATTATTGTATGGAATGGATCACGTTTTTCTCTCTCTCTTTCTTTCGTTCATCTTGAAGTTCAGAAAATATGTATTTTGATGAGTATTTGGGACTAGCTGATGTATGTATAGTTTGTCAAAGAATTGTCACTGATAATCTGTGTTGATCGCGTATAATCTTAAATATAAATCACATTTATCAAATTTATTTCCGCCATTAATAGTCAGCGCAGTTGCTGAACAGTTTAGTTTATTCCTGAAAACATGATGATATTATTTTCGGATTTCGAAAAAATGTGGGTTAGTTTTTTCTTTACTGGTCTTAATTATGACGCCAAGTACGTAAACACAAATCACGCAGGTTCTTCAAACTGTGCTTCTGGAGGCATGCCGTTTTGATCTATGATTGACGAGGATGACGATGATTGTAACTCAGTAGTCACAGCACCATTTAGCGGCCGCGTTGTTCGTTTTGCGCGCGATATCCACACCAAACCGATAGCTGAGAAAATATGGAAAGCACCAGCAACGTATAGAGAAATATTCAGGTCATGAACAAAAAGCGACATAAGAAAACTGGTCTCCAATCCAACACCCTGGAACACCCTGTAACCCGCCATTGCTGTAGATTTATGACGACCAAAGTAAGCAGACAAGGCAGCTGAAACGATACAAATATGTCTTTAAATAGTTTGACATTTTATAAATGCAAGTAGATCGCCGTATTATACGGACTTATCTGGACAGATTACAAATGGATGTTTGGGTGGTATACTGTCCTGTATTTTGTTGGGTTATTATAAATAGTTTAGGCCTTCGAATGGTTTGACGATTATTATTGGCGTTATTCAGAAACTGAGGGGATTGGGGAATAGAAAAAGGCTATATAAACCCCTCTCCCGGTTAAAAATGAATACATAAAAAATAAAAATACATAATGTATCTATATGTACACATAACCCATAATGAAATGAATAGATAAAAAATGAATATATATATATGTCATACAACCCATAATAATATATACATGCATGTACACATAAATTTGAAGTATTTAAAATCCGTTAATTTCTTAGAATTGAAATCTTTCTTTTGTTTTTTTTTCAAAAAAAATATGTACATGGTTAAAAAAAAACCCACCGACACATTTTCTTCATGTGTTAGCTTTTCCGTACGATGGCTGATAAGGGACATGAAAAATAATATAATTTGTTTTCTTAATTTTCACCCAAGTCAATTTTAATTTTCACCCAAGTCAATTTTAATTTTCACCTAAGTCAATTTTAATATAATTTGTTTTTTGTAATTTTCACCCAAGTCAATTGAGATGACGTCACGCGCTGGGTGGAAATTCTTGGGTGAAAATTATAAAAATCAAATTATATTAAAATTGACTTGGGTGAAAATTATAAAAAACAAATTATATTAAAATTGACTTGGGTGAAAATTATAAAAAACAAATTATATTAAAATTGACTTGGGTGGGAATTAAAATTGACTTGGGTGAAAATTATAAAAAACAAATTATATTAAAATTGACTTGGGTGAAAATTATAAAAAACAAATTATAATAAAATTGACTTGGGTGAAAATTAAAATTGACTTGGGTGAAAAATATAAAAAAACAAATTATATTATTTTTCATGTCCCTTATCAGCCACCGTATTTTCGATCCATATAGTAGCATTTTAATGTTTTGATGACATCTGAATACAAGAAACATATTAGAAGATAGTGGTAAAGATCTTCTATTGCATTACCACAAGGATATTCATGAGTTTTTGAAATATGTCTTGTAAATCTATGAAAATTTAGATTACTGTAGCCTAGTCTTGGTATGAATAATTTGATTTTTATATTTGCCGATATAATAAAAGAGAGTTTGTTTTTCAGATCATTTTTAGAGAGTTCTTGTTTAATATTTTGAGAAGTAGAATATTTCACCTAATTCTGGATGTGGTTTAACGTCCGACTGTTCTGCTCCGACAGGGCTAATGAAGACGGGCATACACCACACAGTGTGCTGTGAGGTAAATTTTGCCCAGACAGTAGCGCTAGAATTCCAACTGCCAAGGGATCTTTTACGTGCACGCCAATGTGTACACGGGACCTCAGTTTTTCGTCCTATCTGATTCTGGTTTACAGTCCGTTTCTATTCCTTCGAAAAGGCGAATATATACTCTTCAAAAAAAGTAGGGGATATTGAATTGCAAATACCTATGCAGGTTGCGATATCATAAATAGTCATGGACATTTGACACGCTTTGAGAGTATGTTCACAGATGAAGATCTTATCGCCCCAACAGAACCACTGAGCTACACATGCGACACGCAATAGCGCCATACACGTGGGAGGGATTCATTGTCAAATTTGACACTTCAAGGAAGGGTTGATGAAAACTGCCGCGTGCTGGTTTATCCTGTCCATGTTTGCTTTCCTATCGGTTCTTGCATAAGATTTACTGTTTAGCGTATTTTTGCTTTAGTGTGTTACGTTTAATTTGATCGGGAGACGTGTTCGTCGACGCCAATGTCAACCGACAACACTGCAAGAATTGGCCGTGGCACTGCAAGAGGAGTGGGTCAGATTGCCCCAAATCGTGATTGGACGGTTGAGTAGGAGCATGCCACGGCGAATTGCTGAATGTCTGAGGATTGGTGGAACAATTACTCATTATTAAGACAAAAATCAAAAAACGTCCATTTTCACTTTTTACGGTGTATCTCTTTGCGAGTGAAATGGGGCCGTTAGATAAGCCGCCCATATGAACTGTTTATGTTCATGTGTAGGCAATTGGCCTTTTATTAACATACACTGGTTACCTCTAATAAAAACAGCAGTGCATTTCCGCAGTTTTGTATTGTTTCTGAATATTCCCTACTTTTTTTAAGAGTATAGTGCAAATAGTTGCTTGAGACTAGGATAAAAATAACGCAGAGCGAATCCAATTTTAGGTTGCTCATTAACTATATCCTTTAAGTTAATAGTTGCTTTCATTCGAAACCTTTCCGGGCTCGCAAAATGCTCAACCATAAGGGTAATTACTGTTTTAGACATATATCTCAACCTGATTTTTTTGTTTTCGCTTAAGAGTGACACAGTGTGAAAATCAATAAGGTAATGGGCAACTAGAGAAGCAGACGGTAAATTAAACCCAGTCAGAGTTATCGCACCATTCTTGTGCCCTTATATCGTTGGAATAAATAGAGTGCAAATATAAGACGCTAATAAAAACTGGTTAAAGACGCCGTAAAATCCATTGATCACAGGACAAGAGAGCAACTAACTTCACGGATGGATCAAGTTAATTTGAATGAAAACGGTGATGTATAACTTGCAGACTAAAAGGTCCACATACGTTCCAACATTCGCTATATTGTAAAATCATATAAATTAGCCTACTGTACGAATTTTAGAACCCGTGGAGCTTTGTTAATCCCTTTTCCAAGTAATAGAAATTGTTATTTGGGACTATACTAATGTCCAAAAGAAAGTTTACACACTAAAAATATGACTAAGTTTTTTTAAATAAAAAAAATATGATTTAACTACACTGAACATGTCTCGTGCGTCCAAACTCAACATTTCTAATCAAATAAAAGGCAAAACAAATGGACATTGTACCCAAATACCGCATACAATGGAAAAACGACTTTGTTTGAAGCAGGACAAAATGCACAGTGTATACTTTCTTTTGGACATTAGTATATTTTTGTAATGCATATTGTTTAGACGGCGTTGATCAGTAGTGTTTAGTCTATGATGATAATTATTTAATTTGGGTTAAAGTAACAATTCATAATAAATCTTTGAAATGATATCTCTTTGTCATTATTATACTTATAGAAATATGTAATTATAGTTGACAGGCGTTCGTGTTATATTCTTGTCATCTTCTGTTTACATCATCTGTACTGTGAACCACGGTGGCTCAGCGAGACAGGCGCTGCCTCACTAAACAGTAGTCCTGGGTTCAATTTCTCGGAATTTTTCAAGCAATCGCATCTAGTCGTTCGGATGCGATGAAAATCCGAGGCCCGGTGTACACTTTGATGTGCACGTAAAAGAGAGTATGCGAACACGCCGTTATCCCCTCATGACACATGCCCTTGGCGTACTGCAAATTCTCTATGAATAACTAGTAAACGAAATAGAGAGTATATTTTCATCCGATTTTAATGAAACTTTGTGAGTTGTTTTCCACGAGATCTCAGACAAGTTTGAGATTAGTAAATTAATTGCGGAGTTGTCGCCCTTGGCTTCGTTGAAACAAATAGTTTGTGACTTATTTAAGTGCTCGTTGTTATCTTTACGGAAACAGTATCTTGGTCTGTTTTCTATCAAATAGTGATGAGTGTCGTATTCTTTACTAGAGCAGGAAAAAACATGTCCTGTTCAAACAGCGAACAATAATTGTCATACTTAGACGGAATGTTTCTACCATATAATTAAAGCATAAGATGTCATCCTATTGTATCCCAAAAGTATTTTATAATTGTTGAAGTGTGCGTTAAATAATTGAGACTGCTGTGATGATGGGGTTTCATACATAAATAAAAAAACCCCATTATAATCTATCATGTATTTTTCTAATTATATTAGATTCCAAATTGACAATGACTCACGGGGGTTCTTTCTTACTGATACTTTCATTTCGCCGCATTATCTACAACGTTCAATTTACCATCATTTTTACATAATAATAGTTTTATAATAGCTGATATGGGGGTATAAGCTGTTGGTAGCTAGCTGTACCATGTAACATTTGATATATTATTGATTCAATTCTACAATAACACGGTTTAAGGGGAACTCCACTTTTCATAAACGAATTATACGCGTTGTTTGATTATCAAATATTTAAGATGATAGAGAAAGAAATTATACTGGAGAATAATTTGCAAAAACTTCACAGCCTCTTAAGTGGTTTAAATTAGAGTTGAGGCTGGGTAAAATGATAAAGCCTTAATTACTCCATGACGTAATATATATCCGAACCCCCGGGGTTTACAACACAGTACAATCAACCAACTTCTTTAAAGGGTTTGTACTCTATAAAACCCGTTTCTCGAATAGCCAATGGACAACGGACAAGAACGATTTTAATAGATCATTATATATACTAACAAATCATTTAAAGGTACCGGTACGACATTGCTGATTAAAGGGAAATGTGGTTTTGTCTGACATTGCTATGATCGCCTTTATTACTGTCCAAAGAACCTTGGTATTGCTTTAATCGTCTAAATTACTATCAACATAACCCCAAGACGTAAAGCACATTATCGTTAAACAAAACCCGGTATATGCTGATTGAATTCCCCTTTAAGCAACAGTAACTTATCAGTTCTTTGCAAAAAAACAAAATCCCTGAAAATCATCATTGAGTTTGTCATCGCCAGCGGGTATTATATTTCTCTAATCCCAGATTACGATAGAATGCCATAAAAAGGCCACCAACAGCCTACAGTCACAAAAAAGAACAACTCGGTTATAATGCTGCTTGGAACTACAAATGCAACAGAAAGAACCACAGATGCAAGTTAAGACCACCATATTGACTACATGATAATTTGTTTTCGGGTCAGATTATTAACTAAGAAATGTCGTAAATAATTAAAGTTAATATCTATACGATCCCTGAAGCGCCCCTGTAATAA